TTGATTTATTGAATATGCAACCCGATCTGAATTATACATAAAAGCATGTAAATATACTATGTAATCCAATGACTATTTGATAAAGTTAAGTTAAAAGTGAAAATCCTTTGCTAAAACCAACTATGATAATTAAATTCTTTGGATTGAATCGGATATTCGGATCTGATATCTGATACTAACTAGCTCAAATATGGACTAAGAAATTCAGTGAATTATTGGGACAAAGTATTTGAATCCCGTATGAAGCTACATCGATACAAAACAAATCCAGATTTGATCATTTAGCAAGCGTTATATAGACCTGAGATCTCATGGCACAACTTATAGTCTTATACGACCATTTGAGTCTTCTCTAGCCGGATTCAGCATATCAGATTTAGTGTGCACAACAGATAATAAGCATTCGTATTCAACAAAAGATGTCATAAAATAGAAACAATAAGAAAGATAATACATGCAAAATATATGTATCTTTGCATGTGTGTGTGTGTGTGTGTGTGTGTGTAGAGAGAGAGAGAGAGAGAGAGAGAATTACGAGAAGCAAAGAAAAGAATGAGCAAGAGCATGAACCCAGGGAAAGTCCTGTCCATAGCTGTAAATGTTGTTCTTCTACTGTTTTCTACCTTGGTATCAATCACAAGATGATTTTCTAATCTTCGAACCCACTTTTATAGTTGGACCTTGCTAGTGGTTGTCTAAATGAAGCAATTATTGCTTATAATTAATTGCAAACGAATAAAATCCTATCAAATTCCTAGGCTCAATCTTAAACCCAGCATTAATGGTGGTAATCTCATATCCAAAGGAAAAAAATATTAAATTCAAAGTATTTCCCAAAATTTAGTTTGTCACTTTGTTGTTAGAGTCCAGCTATCTTCCTCAAATTATGTTCTATCCTAAAATAAAATTCATTACTAAAAATATTAATGAAATTGATATCCTTTTCTATACTAAATTACTAACTATATATACCAAACATTAAATAAAAGATTATTACGATATTTAAAAATCAAGTATCACTATACTAAGAATGAGATACCCATTGGGTATCTTCCGAACTCGGGTTTGACTCCTCTCTAACTGCCAAATAATTGGAAGATTTTTCAAATGTATACATTTTTATCAACAAAATTTATCTTATTGAGAAGTGGATTTGCAATATTGAAAATAAAATTGAATTTATGACATTGATAGACCCTATTCATTTAAAAGGAATTGGAGGATATTGCTATTATTCAAAAGGTGCAGTAGCTTCCAAAGTTTCCTAGAGTAGATTGCAATTTATAGATACTGTAAAGCTTAATAAATCTTGGCATTCATGAGAGTAAATAAAGGATTCATATGAATCTTAGCATTATATTGTAAATTTGTATGATGCAACCCTAAATTTCAACTCCATATCCAACGCTCGCTTCATAAACTCATAAGGATCTTGCCTTTGGTGAATACACTACACCACCTCAAGCAAAGCCAGCCGTGCTAAGACTCAATATTCACCTAAATTATAATGTCTCATTTGAAATTTTTGCTTCAATAATATATTTAAATTGGATCGCCCTTACTTTAATGGTCCTAGGGTGGATGAAAAATTGGAAGGATGGATAATAAAAGTAATATATTTAAAAAAATGATTCACGCCATGGTCTTTCCTAATATAAACCTCTCTAAAATGCTCTTCCAGTCCTAGGGATAATTCTCAAAACCCCATTTTCACGGAGAATTGAATGGAGTATCGAAAATATTTTATTTTCTTATTTTTTGAATTGAAAAATATTTTACTAGACTTATAAAATTAGAATAAATGGGACTTTTTTACTCACTATCTAACACTCAATAGTCCTCGAACTCAAACTATTATGTTTTGTTCTTTTTGTATTAAAAAACTAAAGTTCTATACTATTCGTATTAATCCAAAACTTAAAGTTATATAATACAAAAAAAAAAAAAATCATTCACTCAATCGATGAAATCATAAATGAAAAAAAATAGCTTTCATGAAATGTTAAAATTAAATGTGTCACTCCAGTTCATCAATAATGAATTTAAAAATCGTCACTATATAATCCAAAAGACAAATATACAAATACTAAAAAAAATAAATTAGTTGTCATAGAAAGATCGAATGAATTAAGATAGACATAATTTTGGAAAAATATGTGTCTGATTTGGTGGAAGATTTACCTTTGAATTAATGGGTGAATATAAAAGTCAAGGCCCCGAATGGAATGTGTAATTGGAAGGGCATTAATTTGGAGTAATTAAAAATAGTAGCTGTCTTAAGCGGGAAAATAAAATTCGTCTCGTCGAATTAATATTTTTGAGTTAATCTGAACGGCAAAAAATTAGAGATAAAATAAACTTTTAGATATAATTTATCTTTTTACTCAGAATTGGTCTAAGCCGCAAAAAGCTCAAGACACTATGCAAAAAAAAAAAATTATACTTGAAAGCAATATATAACACAAAGTACCAATCAATATAGACCCCCAATTCAAAAAAAAAAAAATTCAATAAAATAAACTTAAAAAACACGACTCTTGGACAATATCAATCTGCATACACAATTTGTATAATCAACATAGTAAAGAATAATCATTTAAAAAAATGACTCACACCACAGTCTTTCATAATATAAATCTCTTCAAAATACTCTTCCAATCTTGGGGATAATTTACAAAACTCTGTTTTCATGAAAAATTGAATGGAGTATGGAAAATATTTTACTTTTTTATTTTGTGAATTGAAAAATATTTCACTTGACACCTTAGAAAATTGGGATAAGTGAGACTTATTTGCTCATTATTTAAACATTCAATAATCCACAAACTCAAACTATTATGTCTCATTTTCTTTGTATTAAAAAACTAAAATTCCATACTATTCGCATTAATCCAAAAATTAAAGTTACATAATACAAAAAAAAAAATCATTCACTCACTCGATGCAATCACATATGAAAAAAAATAGCTTTCATGAAATGCTAAAATCAAATGTGTCATTCCAGTTCGTCAGTAATAAATTTAAAAATCGTCACCGTATAGGGTGAGACTATTTTCACTCTTTAATTCTCTTTTTTCACCCCATTTAATCATTTCATTTCAAATTACTAAGTTCACTCCATCTATACATACTCCATTAGTTACTAAGTTCACCAAATTTATATCCATTCAATTAAACTATTAAATATATATCAAAGAAACTGAAACAAAAATAGTAATTGAAGCGAAATTTCAATATTTCGAGGTGATCTTTATTATTTCAAAATATTTTGAGATATTTTGATATATTTTCACTAATGTCTTTTGAATATTTTGAGGTATTTTAATATATTTTGACTAATATTTTAAAAATAATTATTAATTTTTATTCTACTTCTGAAATTTTTTCATACCGAAATAATACACTGAAATAAAATTTTGATCATTGCCTATATAGTAGGTTGAAATAAATTGAATGAATTTAATTTTTAATTAGTGAATATAGACGGAGTGAGTATAATAACTAATGGGGGTGGGTATAGATGAAGTTAACTTAATAATTTGAAATAAGATGATTAAATGGAGTGAAAAATGAGATTTAAGGGGTGAAAACATTCCCACCCAACACAAATTAACTACCATGGTAAGAGTGAATGAATTAAGGTAGGCAAAATTTGAGGAAGATATGCGTCTAATTTAGTGGGAGATTTACTTTTAAATTATGGCGGGAATATAAAAGCCATGGAGTCGTGAATGGAATGTGTAAACGGAATAACATTAATTTGGGGTAATTAAATATAGAAGGTGTCTTGAGCAACAAAACATAATTCGTTTATCAATCTGATCCGTCTAATTAATACTTTTGAGTTGATCTAAGCTATAAAAAATTAAAGATAAGATAGACCATTGGATATAATTTATCTTTTACACAAAATTAATCTGAACCGCAAAAGACTCAAAATAAATTTTAAGATTCAAACTCAACTCTGCTTTATTATATAAATAACATACATTTCGACACATATAATTAACTTTTCTTCTGAAATTTAGAAAAATTAATTTTAATGAGTTAGAAAAAAAAAATTAATTTATCTACTTTTTCATCTTTTATATTTTCCTTCCTTATCAATCATAATGTTTATTTATCTCTTTAATTTTTCATCATTCTATTTTTTCATCGTACCAAACAAACATAAACAAACATAAGTGAACAAAATCTCTTAAGTTGTGACTGATGAAATCAGAAGTGACAAAGAGTCCAACATGCATAGCCACAAAACTATTAGACCATGTCACTATTATTTTATTCGGTCAACAAATTATGTCAATTTATTAATCTCTGCTCATGACAAAAACACTGCATTCATCATTCCTCTATTACTAACTCTTCCATCATGAACTTTAGTAAGCGCAAGTAAAAATACTACATACATAAACATGCACACACTCGCAACGGACTGAGCAATTATGTACTTGGGAAGAAATGAAACGAAACGAAACGAAAATCCATCAATCAAAAGCTAGACATGTCAACAAGTAGGGCATCCTATTTAAAATCTTTCAACAATACAAATAGAGAGATTTTTTTCATTCAGGCAAACAGGATTTCAAGAAGTACAATAAAAGAACAATAGGATTACTCTGATCAGGTCATGCTGCGCAGAACAACTGTAAAGCTTTGTTTAGTTAAGAGTACTCTGGTTAAACAATGTTGCTGGGCAGCATGGCTCTCATTTAATGCTGACACCAGAGAGAACACAGTGAATTATATTTATATCCACATTATTACTGTCCATCTTCGTGAATTTTCACACCCCATAATAAAACTGCATACATTCGTACCTTTTTCAATTCAATACTCACACAATCACATTGGAACTACAAGGAAAAGCAGAACTTACATTATACCATGCACCAAATAGCTAGCATCACTCCATGGGTGGCAAATCCTGCTTGATCTGGCAAAAATTATATACTACTTAAAGAGCGTCACCTAGCAGCAGGCAGGAAGTCTTACATCACTCAATACAGTTCACCTTCCTTGTGGGTGTGAATCACACAATCACAAATTGGGTATGCAATACAGGTCAGCACGTAACCCTTATCACATTGCTCGTCATTCAGGAACGATCCATCTGATTGGTCCACTGATCCTGAAATCATCTTCCCAGCACAGGTAGAGCAGGCACCAGCCCTACAAGAATAAGGCAGCTCCAATCCTGCATCTTCGGCTGCATCAAGGATGTATTTATCATCAGGGGCATCGATTTCATGCTCTTCACCTTTTGGTCCAATAAGTTTCACTTTATATACTGCCATTGCAGATACTCTGAAGGAGGAAGACTTCAACCCAAATGCTCCAGAGGCCCTCTTGGCAGAACCCAAAAAGCATGTACTCTTAATCAAGGTACAGGATCTAGTTGGAAGCACGCTTATGAGCAAGCAAGGTGAAGGAATTCTGACAGTTGACATATCAGCCTGATTCCAAATATTTTTATTGAGTAATGTCAAATAAGTTTCTAAGATGTTCAAAGCTAAGGTAAAAATTCAAGCAAGTTTCTCCCAGCTCTTTGTCAGAATGTTTCCTCTATCTTACAGATGAACGTGTGAGAGTAGGCCTTTGTTAACAGGGCACAATTCAGAGACAGCCTTTACCGTGCACCACCAAATAAACCTACCGATAGTATCTAATCTTCTGAAGTACTGACAAGTGACAACACCCAAGTACTCTAAGACATCTCTCTCTCTCTCTCTCTCTCTCTCTCTCTCTCTCCATACACACACATACCCAGCCCATACACAATCACCGTTTGACTGCAAAACAAAAAGTGATTTTATGTATTCATAATATAATTTTCCCGTGAAAAGCTAAAATTTACATTCAAGGATCAATCTTTGGATTTCTCAACGAATCTCAAAAGATTGCATTTTCGGTTGGACATAATCTTATGAAGATTCATCTGAAATATCCTAATGGTATTTAAAACAATAAGGTATTGGTGAAAAGATCTTTCAGCAAAATCATTCCCAAATTCCAGTCATAGTTGTTTCATCCGGTTTGTACTTTAAGAAGAGTACCAATGTCTGAATTGGTGTAAGGGTTGGAATAGGTAATTTAAGATGGCAAGGTCATTAGTAGAACTTTGACCAAAGTGAATGACAAGCTATGTCCTAGTAAAGCATCTATGGCATCACGATATAGAAGCTGCTATTTTAAGTAAGAAACATGCTGAAAATATAGTTCACAAACAAAATTGCTTGAATTTGTATACAGCTTCAATCTCAATTTCTCATACGCAGAAAGTTGATGTTAAAGATGTTATAAATAGAGACTGCTGAGATTATTGAAATACATAAAGGAAAGCATGAAAGAGCAAGACGAACTCTTAGCTACAGCTGAGGAAGCTATGAAAGCGGAAGAAAATAGGTCAGAAGTTTGTGTGTGAACAATCTAAGGGTGTCTTGGACATGTGAAACAATTCTACCATTGACTTTGTCAATCCAAAGGGAAGGGATGGTTTGATGAAACAGCTTACTTGCGTATTATTGTCCTTGTTGCATCTGAAAGAGGACATCAGATCAAATATCAGACGTCTCAAAGAAGGCAATTTTTCAAACATATTGGTCGGCATACTTTGATGATACAAAACTCGAAAAAATGATGCAGCATAGTACGAACAAGAACAAGGGTGCATTTTTATAAAACATGTCCCAGAAATTCATAGTCAAGTTCAGGGCTAGATTGACTTCTCCACTTGAAACTCATTTCAAAATCAGTTCCAACGAATGTCATACAACTGAGAAAAGTATATAAACAAATAANAAGTCAAGTTCCGGGCTAGATTGACTTCTCCACCTGAAACTCGTTTCAAAATCAGTTCCAACGAATGTCATACAACTGAGAAAAGTATATAAACAAATAAAGTGTCCTATGCATCTGCAGTTAGAAGTTTAATGCATACTACTAGGCCTGCACTCTGTCATTCAGTAGGTCCTATCAAAAAGGTCCTCTCCAAGTCCGCCAAAGAACACTGCACGGTACAACAGTGAAATAGATTCTCAAGTATTTCATAGACATTCCGCCATATGCTTATTCTTTGGCAGCATCAAACCTATGTAGTGGGATACAAATATGTAGACATTGTTGTTGATGATGCAATGTTTCGAGGAAATCCACAAAACGATACTTGATGACATCTGTCGGGAGAGCAAAGTCATGCGAGTCCAAGATACACAAATTTGCTACTTAATCCACTACAAAGACCAAGTGCATTGCATACACCGAAGTTTGGTTGAAGAAGTGCCTAAAAGAGTTGGGTCTGAAGTAAGAAAGGTATAATCTTTCATGGGATAATAATTGTACTATTCTTCTTTTCAAAACCCTAACTTTACATCTGAAAATCAGACATATTAGTGTGAGGTACCACTAGATTCATGTGTAGAATACAAAGTTATTTACAATCTGAGAAAATCCATACTGATAAGAATGGATCTAATGTGATGACAAAGATATTGCCCAAGAAAAAACTTAAAGCATCCCACATGAGCAAGGGGAGCTTTGTTGTGTTTGGATCCAGCTATTGTGGTAGCCTAACCCCGACCGTTAACCAAAAAAAAAAAGTGAAATTTTCAGCAATAAGATCTACAAAATCTGGAAGACGTTTGTTGTTCCAAATTGAGACGGTAAAAGATGATACCAAAGGTCATTTTGGTGAGAGAAAGAAATTAACAGAAAAAACAGACTGCTAGAAGAGAGAATGAGAAATAAAGAAATTCATTAGGGAGAAATCAAATACGGTCTTTCACGAAATTTCAGAAATATAGTTCCTAAAATTGGATCCTCACATCTATCGGCTTTGATTATGCAAATAGTTTCTCCCCACTACTTGATTCATTAACCCTCTGTTGTTTCCACCTAGTTATGCGTATTGTATTGTTGCTTCATTGTGTTGCTATCGACCTTAGAATGAGGAATTATCTATTGTGTGACCTAACAGTTGTTCACTTAACGCTTTAAACATCTTTTGTTTCTGAAAAGATATAAGAATTCCAAGCCCTTGATTTTTTTTCCCACTTACAAAGGTTTTAAGTAACAAAGTTGGTGTCTNCCTATTGTGTGACCCAACAGTTGTTCACTTAACGCTTTAAACATCTTTTGTTTCTGAAAAGCTATAAGAATTCCAAGCCCTTGATTTTTTTTCCCACTTACAAAGGTTTTAAGTAACAAAGTTGGTGTCTTGTGTTGAAAACCAACTAGCCATCGGAAAACAACCAATAAGAGACACAACCCAGTACAATAAAACCCAACTAAAACAGGTTTAAAGAACAGAGAATCCATAATCAATACTATATCATAATGTATAGCAGCTTAACAAAAGGGGGGGGGGGGGGG